AGAACTAGAGGAAATGGCCACAAACTGAAGCACCAAAAGTTCCACAGGAACTTAAGGAAATTTTTTTTAACAGTGAGGGTGACAGAGCCCTGGAACAGGCTGCCCAGAGAGGTTGTGGAGTCTCCTTCTCTGGAGATCTTCAAAACCCACTTGGATGCAGTCCTGTGCCACGTGCTCTAGGTGACCCTGCGTGTGCAGGGGGGTTGGACGATATGATCTCCAGAGGTCCTTTCCAACCTTAACAATTCTATGATTCTATGATTTCCATACGAAGTGTCTCTTTTTTGCCCCATCCATGTTAGGCTATGAATATAGTTTACTCTTTGCTGTGACTTGTTTTATTTGAGCAGTATGGATTCAAATATGTATCCTGAAAAGTACTCCAAAAGGACTTACCTATTACATAGCTGTGGACAATAACGATAAACATAAAAATCAGAAAGTGCAGATAAGGGCTGAGCAACTGTGGAACAGACAAAAGAACATAATGGAAATTCAGAGATGTTGAGTTTTCTTGTTTGGGATGAAAAAAAGGGGGAACATGGAACATGAAAAAAAGTCAGCAAAACCTAAATGCTGATTTTCTTGCAACCAATCTCAATATGAAGACAGTCATGAAAGGAATGGAATGGAAGAAATGTGCACATCATAGTTCTAACTAGAGCATCTTTCCTTATTCACTCTCCCTTAACAATCCAGTACTCTCTATCACGGTCTTCACTTTTTTTTTTTCTTTTTTTTTTGACATAAACAGTAACTTCCTGAAAAGTAGAGGCTTGAGTCTCCTTTCCCTGTAACAGATCTTGGAAAATGCAAACTCCGTTTCTGAATTGTGTTTGCCCTCAATTAGCTGTTGTGTAGGTGGCCCCGTCCACAAGCAAGAATTGTCAATTCAGTGACACCTCTGAGGCAGCCATGATGAAAGCAGCTGTTCAGTCTGGGCTGTAGAAGGCAAACTGGTCTTACCGTGTAGGTTTCTCTCCGTTTGTGGCAGCGTGGAAGGTCAGGCAATGTGAATCTTTGGATGACAAGTTAATCATGAAACTGCAAGAAACTGGTTTCAAAAGCAGTTATTTTTTTAAATAAAAGCTCTGTTAGAAAATCAGATTTGATCCCTTGCAAGTGGGATGGCTGGGGAGTACAAACCATGCTCATACAGAGCATTTCAGTAACTGACAGTCAGAATGGCTAAGGGCCAGGCACCAGAAGATCTTCCTTCAGAGCCTGTAATGAAACACACGGCAGGCTTGGGAAGTGCCAGGACAGACCTTCCTTCAGCTTTGAAGCTAGCTCAAAGCGATGCGAAACTTGGCCCGGTTATTTTTGCAAGAAACTTGAGGTAGGGCAGAGACCTCAGTTCCATCTTTTCAGGTTGTAGTTGTGACAGGTAGTGTTTTGAAGTTCTGCTTATATGTACAATATATGCATTTGCTGCAGTACAAAGCACCTCTCTGATGGCTGCGGTTAAGATAGAGGCGTCTTTAGCAATGAATGGAGTTCAGATAAAGATCTGATGTGTGGAGAGCATAAAAATAGTCAGGTGTACAGGACAGAAACATTAGTCTGGCCAGTACTTCCAATATAGCCTATCTAAAGCTTCTAACAATGTCTATTTGTTAAGCTTGTTAAGCTGTTTTTTTTTTAATCCTCATTTTAAAAGATTACAGTTTTTGGGGTGTGAGATTCAGCTGCAGACTGACACCTTCCTGTCAATATCTTCATGGAGCCTGAATATCTTCACCCCCTGTGATCTAGGGTTTGGGCTCCCCTTCTGATCAATGGAGTTTTACCTTATTTTGTCTGGGGAGTCTGGAGGATACTTCAGTGTAGAAACTTAGTGGCTGGCTGGCTGAGCAACTAGGAAACATCCCCCTGCATTTGTATTACTCCCAAAATCAAGCAACTTGAAACAAGGAAACAGTATTATAAGCAATTGATTTGTATGGTGTCAACGTTAAACATTCTTAAAAAGCTGAAGAAATACAACAAAACACCATTATCTCTAGTACATAAGAAATACCATTTTTCTTTATTTTTTTCAAACTGCTAGGAAAATGGACTGTCTGTTGCATGTCGCTATGTACTTGTTAGATATATCAATTTATTATTATTATTATTATTACTATTGTTATGTCCTAGATTTGAGAGTATTGGGAAAAGTAGGACTTGCACATCAGAGTTAAATTTGCAGTAAGTCACTGGCCAATGCAAATCCTTCTTGCTGCATTATTTTAGTATGCTGACATTCTGTTCTTTTATCATTTACAACTTTGTATTAGTTTAAGGACACTGCAACATAATTCCCAAAGAATACAAAGGTCCTGGTAAAGACATTGATCGTATTAATCAACTCCATGCAGAATATTTATTAAGCTAATGAATTGAAACATTGATCGTTTTTTCTTAACATTTCATTTTAAAACATTTGGTCAATAGCATAGCAAGGCTAAAATCTATCATTTTCAGAGCCAAGTAATTATTATACTATCGTAAATGCTGTTTGCACTTCCTTAAGTGCTGAGGTTTTATGGTCCTCAATTAATTTGTGTCTCTTTAAAGGGCATGCATTTTGTAAATAGTGAACTTAAAAAAAATGGTACTTGTATAATGTGTATATTTTCCATATTTACTTGTCTTTATTTTGTTAAATATTTTCGTTATATTTTGTGAGTTTTAAAAGCTATGCAAGTTTTAAACAGTTTAGCTAGTAAGGAGGAAAGCAGATTGTTTAAATCTTGGTTTAATTAGCGATATATTTTTTGGTATAGAGCAGTTCACCTGGTTGAAGGCTCTTTAGTGTTACATCCATTGCATGCTTTTACTTTTGTCTGCTTTCTCTGTGCCTTCAAAATACTTTTTTTAAACACTTCCTATTCTTGACTTCGCTCTTGTCTCTGCAATTTCTTACATCTTCCCAAAGATACCTCGAATAATCCTCACACGCCCGTCAACTTCCGATGAAGATACTGACCAGTTGCCACCAGATCCAGAGGACTTCGAACCCGAGGAAGCCGACAGCGCAGAGGGCCCTGCCTATTTGGACTGTCTGAACAATGCTTTTTACCCTCCCTAATAAAGTACATTTCTGGAAAGAGGTTTTTTTTTTGTTATTCTTTTTCTTCTGTTCAATTAAATTTAATGTAGTCCTTGAACCACTATGCCTTATTTGTAGGTAAAAACTATTACACAGAGGATGCATTTTGAATGGGGGGGTGAGGGGAACAGAACCCATGATCACATTAATTTGCCTTGAGCTTTCCTTCACCTTGTGCACTTGAAATGCAATGTTCTGAGAATGTCATCAAATGGTTTAATATCCACTCTTAAGTGCATTTTACAGCAGCTAAATGCAATGATGGAGAAAACAATTTTTTTCTTTTTTTTTTTCTTTCTTTTTTCAGAGGGTACTCTACCCATTTGGCACCATGGTGAAAACAATTTTACAAGATCTCCTTTTTTTTTTTTTAATCTGGTGTCCATGTTTTGTCAATAGAGCCTACCCTTTGTTCTACTGGTGGCTTCCTTTGAATTGCTCCATTTCATTATGTTTTCTATCAGAATAAAAATTCCTTTTCTGTCTTATAAATCGTTCTGGTATTTTTTTTTTCCACTGAGAAATACTGTTTACATTGGAATGAGCTACACAGTTCTGTGTAGTAAGGAACAAGTTCTGCAAGCATCAGCTGAATTGGAATAGGGCTTGTAAGTTACATTTGATTAGATCCAAACTACTAAGATGCAGACGGCATCTTATGTAGCTAGGCACCTGAGAATGAGGTGAGAAGTTATTTCTTATACTCAGTTGTTGTCTGAAGCATTTTTATTTCTCCTCCTGACTTGAATTAAACAGAACACCTTAACTGCCTTACTGGGACATATCAATATTTCATGTATAAATATATACCGAAGCTAAGGATTTTAAGAGCAAATGTTCTTACATGTTCAATAAAACCGTTAGTTCTTTTCACTGCTCTTTTGGATTCTAACATCTTTTAAGGTACTTCAGAATAGCATTTTGGACTTTATTTGGGGTTTTACATTTCTGCCTTAGTTCATAGAGAGTCTTGTCCTGCTAGACTGGGAGATGATTACTTTTTTCTTTTTTTTGCCATGTGTATCTTTCCCTGTAAATATAATAAAATTTAATAATCTTGGGGGGGGGTAGGAGGGGAGCCTCATCTCATTATTCAAATTCTGGGTGATTTCTCAGATAATCATTCACGTATGACTTAACTGAATGATGGTAACTGGCTTGTCAGTAATTAGGAAGCCCCTGGGAGAGTGTAGTTGTCACATAGTTGGAGCAGTATCTCTTACAGATAAAAGGGAGATTTTGGTTTTGGGGGAAAGGGAGGGAAGGTTTGCAATAACACTTGATGATATCAAGATTTTTCTTGATTCAACTGTGTCTGCCGTAGCTTTTTCCTTCACTTAATTGGAGAAAATTATTAGACTAATTTTCATTCATTTTGCAAAATTAACATTACTTTAGAATGTTTTATTGCTATCATAATAGACTGTTACGTGTGTAAACATTCCAGTTTGAATTCTCTTAGATGACATCAATAAAAGACTTCTGTTAAGAAAATATGCTTCCCATCCTTTCTCCTCCTCCAAAATGAACAATGTTTCCCCATCATAATGTTAGGTCAATGAATACTGCAAAAGTATTATCAAGCGCAACCCTTAAATGCCTTGGCAATCCAGCAGTAGTATTATATGCAGTTCTTTAACACTGAATTATCTCTTACTAGATAGCAGAAAACCAGTAAACCAGTCATTGGTTACAGAATAAGTTATAGTTGAGACTTAAAGTGAAATAAAGTAACAATACTATTGAGAACTTTAGATTTTAGTTCTTTTTCCATTTCATGTATGAATATGGTGAGTTTTAGGTTCTTCATTAGGTAATCTCTTAGCTTCCAAAATTCTTGAGAAGAGACACAGGGCTGTGTTAAAGTATATTGCATGTGTCTAGTCATGTTTTGATGAGGCTTTAGAGTTTAATTGTTGCTTTTAGAGCTACTTGGCAAGCCTGTATCTGTTGGTTTGGAGCTTTCGGTGTGTGTCTTGGAATTCAGAACTTTGCTGTCAAAAATGTGCGCTCCTAACTGAATGCAGTCAGTATTCAGAAAAGTTTTTAAAATTTAGATCCCTATCTGTCCATTTCAAACGATTTTGTTTTAAAAACAAAATTCATATTGCAAAATAGAGATTTTGCTGTGTATTAACAGCAAATAAATTGTGTAGAGGCAAAAGGCCATTAACACGAGTTGACAAATGAACCCTGGACAGCGGAAAAAATAACAGTGGTTTGTTTTTATTGAGTACCTCCATAGAAGGGCATGCCCTTCTACAAAATATATCACCTAAATGCTCTACTAAACTTATGTTCACGTTACAGCTTTACACGGACAACTAATTCTGCCTATTTCAATGCATGTTCCTTGTGTCCATGATGACGTTTCATGTTTGTTCGTCACAAGGGTGACGTAGGTGGAAGTCATGTTCTGATGCCCTTATCTGTGCTGAGTAATGCCTCTTTATTTTTTTTTTCTTTATTTTTTTTGTACATATATAGATAGGAATGGCCAGAGACAGAATTTGAATAAAGGCACTATGGGAGTTGCTCTATTAGCCATAAATCAAATCCTGTTCTTTTATCTCCCAGGTGACTCATGTAGAGATACCTAGAAATGGCCCATTGACTGTGGAGAAGTTATTTGATTTCTGTGAGAAATTGCCTTCTTGTTCACAGCCACCACATTAAAAAAAAAAAAAGAAAAAAACCCACAAGTGTTAAAAGGGCATTTAATGCTTTCCTGAGATTGTGTGTCCTTATCCAGAAATCATTGTCATGAATTCACGACTGTGGAGGAAGGCAAGGTAGACAGCACCACTGAAGATGGGAGTGGAGATTGTTTTGTGGTGTGTCTATTGAAATATAAATTACACTATGGAATAATGTGGATTACTAAAGTATAGCAGGATTATTCTAGGGACATAACATATTTATATGCTTGAAGGAATAGATATTTAGCAAGAGTAAAATAAGACTTCAGTTGCACCCAAGCTGTCTTTACTGGTGGAGAATAGCAGATCTTCCATCTTGCCAGCACAATGCAGTTGACTGAAAAGACCCTTAAAAGAAGAAACTGCTTGCAATTTCCATGAAATTCAATGTCAGAGAGGGTGCCAGTATCATAGCATAATGCTAAAAATGACTTTCCTTGGGTTGTCCTGCAATTAATGCATTCAAAGTTGTCCATCTGGAAGGTTTGTGCAGGAAACTCCTGTGCCAGTACATGTCATATAGGCCTTGGATAATTGCTGCCCGTTATACTAAGCAGCAGCTTGCCCTGATGTAACGTTTCCCTCTTTTCCACGCCTGTAATCTCCTGCTCCTCGCGTATTTACCGGGTAAGCTGGGTGGACCCAGAAGTGACAGCAGCAGCTGCTGGGGGCCGCAGCAGGAAGGTGGACTGCCCTCCCGACGGCATCAGCTTCCCACTCCCAGATCCGTGTCGTTTGAGAGGTAAGCGATCTTAAGACATAAGGGCAGTGATTCCAGCATGCTTTTCGTTTCTGCTCTGAACATGCTCTGAAATATCAGCTAGAAAAGCTTCTGAAGTCCTGACGTTTCCAGACATGTGCAGGTGACCTTGGAGAGATGTGCTGGAGTAGCGCTCAGAGCCTGGCTGGTTTGTCGTTCTGGGGCTGAGATAAGGGTGGGCATCAGAGAGAAGCTGGAAAACTTAACCTGTATTTTCTTCATGACTGGCAGTTACAAAGCAGTGAGAGACCCTGCATCTTCTGGGCTCTTCTTTTTTTAAAAAAAAATCTTTTTTTTTTCATTTATTCTTTCACATATGTGACAGAAAAGTATTACAGGTGTAATTTCTGTAGTGGTCATAGTCCTTTTAATTGATACTTGTGATTTAAGTAGGTGGCTTTCAACTGAGTAAACTAAAGTTGAAGACCTCATGTTCAGAATTTGTATGCCCAACTTCTTTTTATTACTTATGAATTGTTTGACACTGAGCAAATGAAAGATACTGACTTAACAGAGAAGCAGTGTGGATCTATCACGTGATATGTCAGCTAGGGTTACAGCGATATCATTTTGAGAATGAAAATATGTGAAGCTAAAGAATTGCAGTAGCGTGAGTGAAAAAATATCTTAGAGTAACCCACAACCTTTATGCTATTGCTTGTTTCTTTTTTTTGCAAGGACGGGAGGCTAAATGCGCATAGAAAATATGTCTGCTTAATTACTTCTTTACACAAGCTACTATTTTGGATTTTCAACACTTTCTACTTACTGAAAAAAATTGCAAAACAATCCCCCTATTGACTTCATCTCTTGGCCTCTTGTTAGGTCTTGCTCTGAAAAGAAAAACAGGTGTGAAGAGACCAGTGCCTGTAATATGAGTAAATCATTGAAAATAGCACAGTAGTTTCGGCAATGAACTGTTTATAGCATGTATTTTACTTAGCATTCATTTACTATGTTTTTTTTTCCTTGCAAAATAAAATAGCAAATAAAAAGTTACAAACAATGTACTAGAGGGTCCTCTGAATAAAATAACCTTCATTAATTCTGTGTGGGAATGAAAAGTGTCCTCCTAAAATGATTTAATCCCATATTCTCATATGGTTAGTACTGTGGTCTTCCTTCAGGTTTCATGTTCAAGTGTCATGCTGTGTAAGGTGTGGGGAGCAGCAGAAGGGTGTCAGCCTTTCTGTCTCTATCAATTCATGCTATCTCCATATGCAGACAGGTTGGGTTTTGAACGCGTTCCTAGCTTCCACTGCAATACTGAGAATGCTGCAGCATGGTCAATTCCAGTCTCAGGAAGATCTTATAGTAAATTGCTACACATTCATTTTCCGTGCAACACAGCTGTGTGTTTCCACCCAAGGCATTTTAGTGCTTTCTGGCGATTTAAAACGGCTGCAGAAGCAGCAGGTTTTCGCTAGCGCTCTGGTTTCACAGGAGCGCTATACTAATCGTCAACAACCAGGTGGCACACGTTCCTAATCCTCCTGGTTTGTGCCTGCTTAGGGTGCGGGAGGGCTTGGAGGAGAACAGGGGACGTCTTTGTTCTCGCACCCCCTCGGGGAAGCCGCAGGGCTAATGCCGCTCACCCTGGGCAGCAGGGCAATGTAAGCTGCTGCTTGAATCCCACTTCAGACAGATTTTGAGAGCACAATGGTACAAAGGCATTATGTAAGCCTTCCCCCCTCACTGCACGGGTATATTTCAGCCTCTCGGGACATTTTGGAGATAGGAACTTCTTACTACTGTTTAGGTCCCTGAAGAGCAAAGTAGTGCTGTACCTTTCCTCTGGGTATTATGTCCCTTTTCTTGTTTCTTTTCTTTTCTTTTCTTTCTTTTTTTTTTTTTTTCTGCAGCATTTCTAGGAGAAACAGTGAGCTGCCTTTTTCCTCTTGTGACATCAAATACATTTTTATTACTTCTGCTATTGCAGCCCTTGTAGATTTGGCTGGTTCTTTATATTTGCCACTCCTCTCTTCTGCTGTCTGATTTAAATTCTTACAAAGAGAGGCAGAACAGAGGCCAAGGAAAAAAAAACATCTTCCCTGGAGTAACTTTTTCTTTGTTCTAAGCAAAGTCCCAGTAGGGGCAACACAAGATGTTTGTTTTTGGTCAGCTTTTCATATATAAATTGCTTTGGCTGTTGTATGATGGCATCTTCAGTTACTTTTTCTTCCTCTTTGGGGCTGTGAAGATCACCTGAGTGGAGTGTTTATCAAAAAGCCATGTGGAGCAGAAAGGAGTGTGCCTAGTTTGGACTGTCATTTCCATATGCAGTTGAAAAACAATAAATGAAAAAGTCCCAGTGTGCTGGGAGGAAGAGAGGGAAGGGGAGTGTCTTTAGGAGCGGGGGAAATTTTCTGGGGTTTAACAAGATGCTTAAGCTGCCAGCTTTCTAAATGAATATGCATTTCATAATAAACTGAGCAATAGCCTGAAGAGATGGAGAAAAGAGCACTTGTCATTTAAGAGTAGCAGATGTTTTCTGTGTAATTCCGTAGTGAGCTTTTTCCTGTGCCTTGCTGGTAAGCACAGAAGGCGCCGTGTGTGTGAATCACTCCTAGGATAACATTGTCCAGTGGAGGTGGCACCAGTGGGTGGGAAACAAGCCTGGAATTTGCAGCCGGGCCAGGAGCGGCTCCCTCCCGCTGTGGTTGCTAATACGGGATGCCTGACTTTATCTTACGAGCCAGAGATGGGTTATTCTTCTGCGGGTAACTAACAGCCAAACGTCGCAACCATCGTCTTTGCGGCTTGTAGTTGCATTTTAGGTGCCCTGTGGTCACTTCTGTTTTTTATGGGTGCTTCCACAGACTGGAAGCTTTGCAATTCTTTCAATATTTGAAGAAAAAAAAAAGAAAAAGAGCAAAACATACTGAAATATGACGTCCTGTTTTAGAAAAGGAGACTATACACTGCTTGAGGATAAATTCGGATTGTTCAGTTTCAAACCCTCGACAGAGAAAGATCAATATCTATTTTAAAATAGTGTTCAGTGTGTTTTCTGTCTGTGTAATGTCAGGTGGTACAAACTAAACCACTTCTCTTGCTTAATAACCTCTCTGAACATGGGTTAGTGCAAACGTGACATAGCCACAGGTGATAGTTGGCTATTACTTTTCATGGAGTTTTAAAACACAACTTTTTGGAGGCGGGGGAAACGGGGGTGGCGGCAGGGAGGCAGTAGCAAAATCCATATTAAACAATTTGCTTTGATGCCAAAATAAGGTTTATTGTTATCTGAGGCCAGCTGCCTGCCTTCTTTCCAGGCTTCTATTTGTGAGTTTTCGAGGGCTATAAATGGAAACACAAGCTAACCAGAAATTATCACCAGCCCTGCCTGACACTTCTGCCTCACAACGTGAAAAGTACAGTGATATCTAACATGTAGCCAGATTAAATCACTTCTGCGCAGGACTTGAGGGATATTTTTTTGTTCCCTTGGGAAATGGAGTTAGGAAAACACCAAGTAAAAGTCTCAGGAAGAGAAGGCATAAAAGAAGAGCAAACGGTAAGATATGCTGAGAAATGTTAGACTTCTTTTATTAATTTTATGATAAGAAGGAAGGGCACATCAGCTGAGCACCTTATAAGAATATTTCCATACTTCCTTTAACCAGTGACCTTGAAGATTAACACTTCATTCATGTATGTTAAATTAATTATAGTGATATCTTTCAGTGGAAATGACAGAATTTTGTTAAATTTATGTACATATGAAATGCAAAAGGAAAGATCCAGTTCAATGGCGTTTTTTTAATCATTACCCTGATCTCTAGCTAATAGTCTGTATTTTCCTTGGTTTATTTTGAGGGAGTGTTTGTGTCCTTGTACCTTATTTTTCATAAGTTTAAATCAGGAAACAGAAGATCACCCTTGGAAATTATTTGCCCAGTGTTTGGAACTCACTGAAAATAGATGTAACCATACCATGTTATTAACAGAAAATGAAAGCAGTCAAGCAAGCTTATTAGTAATTAACATAGGCTTGAAACAGAATTTCTGATGTGCCTTATGTTAAATAACAAGGTTATTTTACTTACATTGTGCAAAGAGCAGTTTAGTCTTGACTTTGCAAAGCTGTGTGGAAAGGTGACCATCATTTTTGTTAAGAAACAAATTAGCATTGATATTTTTAGCACTTGTCTTAAGTAATGGTGTAACTGCATTGTTTTGGTTTTGTGGCATTTACTCTTGTAGAGTGGTGGCATATAACACTAGTAGCCTCATTTAAGCGACGCTTTTGGGAAGCTTATGTGTTAGATAATAGTTTTAAATATAACCACCTAAGGTTATGTGCTTTAGGAAGGAACTCCAAGAAGTTCTGAAATAGCAACAACAAAAAAGAGTTGGTCTTAAAATACTTTTTCTCTTTTAAGAAAGGATGTATTTATTTAAAGAATAATCTGAGACAGTATTGCTTAAGCTTCAGCATGGAGTCATAAAGTGAATGTTATCTAACATTTTATGTGTTCATATTCTCATTAATAAATTAGTTCTTCAGACAATGAAAAAGATCTTGTTCTGAATTAATTTGTGGCGGATAGGTAAAATATAAGAAAAACTTGTCAAAAGTAACAGCAATTATTCAATAAGGCTTAAAGAAAAGTGTCAAAAAAAATCTTTGAAGTTTTGTTCTAGTTCCTGCATGGGGAAAATGTGTAACGATGTCATTAAATAGTATGACTATGTAATTGGAGACTGCATTAAGAACTGAGTGTGCAATGTTAATTAAGGTTTTACCCAAAATGCAGAGCACTTCATTTGGGACCATGAGATCTCTGTGTATGTGTAATTTTCTGAATTTAGAACAGAAAACTGGAGAAAACAGGAACTCCACTGGTTGGATCCATATCAGCAACCATGCCAGGTCACACTTGGAGTTGGTCAGTTGCTTCAAAACTTGTAACCTATGGAGCTGAGAGACCGCTGAGAGCGGTACAGGCCGCTTCCACAGGTGGATTTGGCATGGAGGAGATGTGCTCAGTCTTTGGTGGGTTTTGCAGCTCTCCGGTGACAGTGGATGATTGCTGTGGCTCTGGCAGCTTTGTCCCATGCCAGTCTCAGTGGCCATGCTTGTGCTATCGGCGCCTTTGTCTCCTTTTGTCCTAATTTTATCCTGGCCTCCATTCCCTCTTTCTTTTACACTGCTTTGCCTTTTTAAGTGCTATTCTTTCAGGCTGTTAGCTGAATTATGTTTTTTCCCACACCTTTTTCTGAGTTCTGTCCCTCCTGGATTCATACCGGTCATGACCTTTTTGCTATGTGCTGGTCAGTTCAGTATTTAAATATTATATGGGAGAAGTGTCAATTTTTAGCTCCCACATGCAGGACTCCATATTTTTCTTGTTTTTTTGTTGTTTCTCGTGTTTTCTGTAGACCCTGTTGTTTCCTCCAGCCTGTCTAGGTCCCTCTGAATGACACCCCTGCCCTCAAACATGTCAATTGTTCCTCCTAGTTTGATGTCACCCGAACAGCCGAGGAGAGTGCTCTCCTCAGGTCATTGATGAAGATGTTAAACAGGATTGATCCCAGGACAGAGCCCTGCAGTACGCCACTTGTTACAGTCCTCCAAGTAGAGCATAATCCCTTAACCATGACTCTCTGAGTCCAGTCAGCTTTTTAACAACCTACTTGTCCAGACACTCAGGCTGTAAAGTCTTAAGTTGGGTACAAGAGTATTATGGAATCAAGGTAAATCAAGATAAATGACATTAACTGCCCTCCCCTCCTTCCCAAAACCAGTCATTTTATCATAAAAGGCGATTAGGTTGGTCGGTTATGAGTTACCCTTCTCTTCGGTGTGCCAAAAATGCATTTGGTTGTACGGGCTTGAGCTAACTCTCTCCCTCAGATGCAGCCCATCTGGTCCCATGGATGTGTATGGGTCATGTTCCCTCAAGTCATTTCTGCCTTGAACCTTACACACTCTTGCTCATTCTCCTCCTGTTTGATGCTTGCCACTAGCAGAGACCTGGAAGATTTTGTTGATGAAGACTGAGGCGAAGATGGCCAACAGCCTTATCTGTGCCTGCTGATGCTAAATCATGGCCTTGCATCACTAAATGATGCCTTGATAATCATTTGGCAAAGGACCCACTTTTTCCTTGTCAAGTCTTTACTAAAGTTGCGGAAAAATCTTTTGTCGCCCTTGAACATCCCTTGAACACAATAGCTTTAGGTGAGCTTTGCAAATGCCATCATTTCTGCATCTAAATTCCTCCTTCTTTTACCTCTCCCTGCTTCTGCCTCCTATACTGCATTTTCATGCTGGAGCTCAGTCATGAACTCTTTGTTTATCCAAGATGGTCTCCATATAAGTCTGCTGGTCTCCTGAATATCAGGATAGAGAATCCTTGTGGTTGGAGGAGTTTATACTTACAGATATGCCAGCTCTACTGTGCTCCTTTGCCCCTCAGAGCTGCTTCCCACGGGATTCCAGCTCCTTGATAAGCCAAATTTTGTTCTCCTGAAGTCCAGGATTCATACTGTGGTACTTGCCTTCCTCACACCTCACAGTATTTGCATTTCTGCTATTTTGTGGTCAGTGCAGTCAAGTCTGCCACTATCACATCCTCAGACACTTCTTCCTATTTTTGTGACTAAT